GGAGAAGGAGGAGGAGGAGGAGGAGGAGATGGAGGAGGAGAAGGAGGAGAAGGAGAGGAAGAGAAGGTACGCCATAATTCCTTCCTGTAGAATAGATCTCCTGTTCTGGTTTACTTAATGGGGATGATATTTACTGGGAACCAGTGCAGCATATGCAATAGCAACATCACATAAGCAAGCCTTATTACTCACAATATCACATACGATGCTTTTTTTTCTGGCGGAAGCGTCTGTGTGCTTTTCAAGGGCAGCCCCACGTAGAGTGCCACACAGTAATCCAACCAGGAAGTGATTTAGGGTGTGAGTAACTGTAAGCAGTCTCCTGATTCAGGAACAGGCACAACTGGTACCTGGGAGACTTTATGCATCAGCTCCCCAAGAAGGAGATGTGGATCCAGAAGGACCCCTGCACTGCACATCAACTTTGTATGGGGAACTCCGTTACCCCATTTAGAGATCCAAGATGGAAAATGCCCAGATGTGTGTGTGTGTGTCAAATCCATAGTCACTAAATTGCCAGGTTGTAGCCTTTTCTTCTCCATCCAGATCCTCAATGGTAGTACTTGAAGGTCTTAAGGTTGAAATCTATAGTTACAGTACATTTCAAGAGTAATCAATAACACACTGAAGATACTTAACTGGGCATCAGCGATAGACCTCTCAATTTCAAGTAAATGTTGAGTGGAGAGACATCTGAGACCTGAGGCACCTCCACACACCAGAGGTTTAGAGGTAGATCTTTCGTCACCACCACCAACTGGGACCACCCTCAGAGGAAGGGGAAAAACCACTATAAAATTGTGTCCGAACTCTTGAAACCAGTCTAGAAGAATAGCAATACCAATAGCACTTAGACTTATATACCACTTTACAGTGCTTTACAGCCGTCTCTAAGGACTTTATAGGTCAGCATATTGCCCCCAACAATTTGGGCCCTCATTTTATCCACCTTGGATGGATGAAAGGCTGAGTCAACATTGAACCTGGTGAGATTTGAACTGCCAAATTGCAGGCAGCCGGCAGTCAGCAGAAATAGCCTGTAGTACTGCACTCTACCCACTGCACCACCGAATACCATGACTGAAGGTACTAAAAACTGCTGAGACCCAGGACAGATGTATTACCTACCCCCATCCCTACCTCTCTAGTGCAATTAATGCCATCTTGGCATTAATGTCAAGAGCTATTTATTAATGCCAATTAATGCCATTAGCTATTTTTTAAAGTACTAGAAGTCAGTCTGAGGATTTGACTTAGATATGTGAGGACAGGTTGGCCTCACACATCTAAGTCAAATCCTCACTGACTTCTAGCACCTTTAAAAAAATAGCTAATCTCATTGCCTTTTTTCCTGTAATTAATCAAAATCCAGCGGAGAAGAAATATGCATGCATGTCTTCCCTTTTGACTGAGAAATCCCAATGTTCCAGAGGTTTATGAAAGAACCTCAACACATAGGCACATTCCCTACTTAGTAATTAAAAACACCCTGGATATCTTCTCTACCTGTCTACATATTTCTCCTATTCTTCTCCCCACAGGATGTGAGTGCAACTTTCAAAAGTTGTGAGCTTTCTGCACTCTTCATTATATTAATCTGTTGGTTTATATCCATAATTAATCCTACAATTATGCTTTTTCTTTACATGTACACACAGCCATGGAAAGCAGCTTAACTGAATTTACTATATGGATCCAACAACGTGAAATTCAATGTGGAGAAAAGCAAGGTTTTATACCTAGGCAGGAAAAACCAAAGGTACAAGTACAGCTATGGTTTTCCCGGTTGCAATGAATGGCTGTGAAAGTTGGACCCTAAGGAAGGCTGAGCGCCAAAGAATTGAGGCCTTTGAACTCTGGTGCTGGAGAAGACTCCTGCGAGTCTTCTGGACTGGACTGGACTGCGATCAAACCGGTCAGTCCTAGAGGAGATCAACCCTGACTGCACTTTAGAAGGCCAGATCCTGAAGATGCAACTCAAATACTTTGGCCACCTAATGAGAAGGAAGAACTCACTGGAGAAGAGCCTAATGCTGGGAAAGATTGAGGGCAAAAGAAGAAGAGGACGGCAGAGAACGAGGTGGCTGGATGGAGTCACTGAAGCAGTGGGCATGAGCTTAAATGGTCTCCAGGGGATGGTAGAAGATAGGAAGGTCTGGAGAAAAGTTGTCCATGAGATCACAATGGGTCAGATGCAACTTTGCAACTAACAACAACACAAGTACAGATTAGGCGAAACTTGGCTCAAAAACAGTAACTGTTTGAGGGACCTTGGAGTCCTTGGTTGTATAAACAGAAGCATAGAGTTGGGATCGTGTGAAGTGTTAGTACCACTTTATAAAACCATGGTAGGACTAAACCTGGAATACTGTATCCAGCTTTGGTCACCACATTAGAAAAAAGATATTGAGTCTCTGGAAAAAGTGCAAACAAGTGCAACTAAGATTATTAAAGGCTTTCAGACAAAAACATATGAAAAAATGGTTGCAGGAATTGGGTATGGCTAGTCTAGAGAAAAGGACTAGGGATGACATGATAGCAGTATTCCGGTATTTGAAGGGCTGCCTCAAAGAAGTGGGGGTCAACTTATTTTCCAAAGCATCAGAGGGCAGGACAAGAAACAATGCATGGAAACTAATCAAGGAGAGAAACAACCTGGAATTAAGGAGAAACTTTCTAACACTGAGAACAATTAACCAGTGGGACAACTTACCTTCAGAAGTTGTAGGTGCTTCATCACTGGACTTGTCTGAAATAATATAGGATCTCCTGCTTGAGCAGGGAGTTGGGCTACAAGACGTCCAAGGTGCCTTCCAGTTCTATTCTGATTGATTGATAGTCAGTGGTGGGAATCAAATTTTTTTACTACCGGTTCTATGGGTGTGGCTTGGTAGGCATGGCATGGCTTGGTGGGCATGGAAGGGAAGGATACTGTTAAATCTCCATTCCTCCCCACTCCAGGGGAAGGTTACTGCAAAATCCCCATTTCCTCCAGATCAGCTGGGACTCAGGAGGCAGAGAATAGATGGGGGCGGGGCCAGTCAGAGGCGGTATTTGCCGGTTCTCTGAACAACTCAAAATTTCTGCTGCCGGTTTCTCTAGAACTGGTCAGAACCTGCTGAATACTTCTGGATTGACTGTATTTTCAATGCTTTCACCAAAGCAAAACGAGTTTGAATCAACAGACTAGGACTGTTCATCATATCACTTTGCAGCATCCTCATTTCACATCAAGTTACAAACTGAATTTACCTAAAATACTAAGCTCAAGCGGGGTTGACTAGTTTGCAGTTCTGTATGTCTTGGAAATACAATCACTAGACAATCAATAGCTCGGCATCCTTTCAGTCTAATCATTCAGTCTAATGGCTGTGGGATTTGAGAAATGTAAACACTACTGTGTAACTACTACTAGGATCAGAGCTTTAATAAGCTCCGAGTCTGGTCCTTTCTTCTAAGCGCCAAAGAGTCTCCATATTTCATATGTATGAATATGGATAAACTCTTCACAGTTTACGATTTTTGGAGTAGAGAACCCCAAATGGCAGATGTTCCACACAGAGCTGTCAAAAACAGGGATGTCTAGTTGAAATCTGCAGGATGGAGAATGTGGTGTTGGGACCCAAGATCCATTCTCTACATGCAGGTATAAAAGGGGTGGGGCTTTGACTGCAATGCTGCATGTGCCATCTTGCAGGTTTTGACAGCGCTGCCTCCATAAACACCCAGTGTAAAATGGGACTGTACGGGCTGAGTAAGCACAGTGCCAGTGTACATCATTTCAAGGAGGAAAAACAAGCCTCTTTGGGGGATTCTTTAATTTCCTGTCCCTAAGGGTGAGGGCTGACCTAAACGTCCAATTCTAAGCATTTTAGCTTAGTACAAACACAGCCAAAGCCTTGTAGTGGAAATAAAATTAGGGTTCTAGGCTTCCTTTGAGCCTCTCGCGGTGTAATAAACGAACAGAAAGAAAAGCAGCAAACAGGGTGTTTAGAAAGAGAGTGACGTAAGAATTTCTCCATGGGGTTTGCTTTTATAAAGCATCCTTGCTTCTTAAAGATTCTTAAAAGTTCTCCAAAGGAAGTCAAGTTGGAATGCTGGTTAGAATTCTCCAAAGAGTCATTGTTAAAAACAACAACAACAAGAAGCAGTGACCATTTAGAAGGCAAAGGAGAAAGAGAATAATTATTTCTCAGGACCATTTTTTTTAATGATGATTACATTTAGAAGTTAATTATTTGACATCGAAGAAATTGAGCTGCCAACCAGTTTTGGCAGGTATCATGTTGTTTCTTGGCCAAATATAATCATAACATAATGACATCTATCTATCTATCTATCTATCTATCTATCTATCTACACACACACACACACACACACACACACACACACACACACACACAGTGGTGGGATTCAGCCAGTTCGCATCACTTCGGGAGAACCGGTTGTTAACTTTCTGAGCTGTTTGGTGAACTGGCTGTTGGAAGAAATCATTAGGGCAGAGAATCGGTTGTTAAATTATTTGAATCCCACCACTGTGTATGTATGTATGTATGTATGTATGTATGTATGTATGTATGTATGTATGTATATGTTTGTAGAGAATCCTAGCTGCTTCTAAGGAGCCAATTTAGAAGACTCCGGATGCAGCCTAACCCTAAAGGCCCTTGAAAAGAAATGCTCTGATTAATAAAAAAAAGGCAAATTGGGAATTCAGGGGCTTTTTCCGATCCTTTAATCCTCACCCAATGTTCCCCTCCTACGGATCTCAAGCTTTCAACAGAGCTTGCACAAAACTGCCGCTAAGTAAACTTAGACAGGCCACGGGGCACCCGATTCTCAAGCGTGTCGGGGTTTTTGAAAGGCGTTGCTAGACCACAATCCCGGGATTTAGAGGTCCTTGCAAAGCGCATGGCCTCCTACGGAACGGATACGGGAGCCTGCATAAGCGTTGAACCCTCTCTTTCGACCGCGGGGATTGACCGGGCTGCTTTGCTATTCAGATTAAAGCGGATCCGATCGTCCCCGCGCCGGGAGCCAGCGGCGAAAGACCGGCGGGACTTTGCTTCGGAGTAAGCACATCTGGCACCCAGAGGAAGCCGGATAGGGCTTTTCCCGCAGGCTAATCGCCAACCCACTCGGGAGCTCAAGAGGGTTTCCCTCTCCGGCGCAGCCTTCGCAATCATCCGCTACCGGGGAGGACGCCGCTTCGGAAAGTGTAAGTCCCGCTGAGGTCCGATTCCCCAGAGCTGATGGGAGGAGAATAACAAGAATAACAGAGATGGAAGGGACCTTGGAGGTCATCCAGCCCAGCCCACCCCCGTTCAAGCAGGGGACCCTGCCTAGACTATTTCTGGCAAGCGGCCATCCAAGTCTCTTCTGGGGTGATGGGGGCACCCACAACTTCTGAAGGCAAGCCGTTCCATGGGGTCGATCGTCAGAAAATTTCTCCTTATTTTCTAGGCTGATCGGTTTCCATCCATTGTTCCTTGTCCTTCTTGCAAGAAGAGCGGGGAGGGGGGGAGAAAAAGGGGGGGCTGGGCCGGACGCCCCTCTCCGCCGCCGGCTCAACCTCTTTCGGGCGGCGGCGTAGACCCGCACGCTTCCTCCGGCTGCCGCGCCGCTCCTCCTCCTCCTCCTGCTTCTCTTTCTCTCCACCCCTCCGACTCGCTCGGGCGCGAAAGGAGGGGCAGGGGGTGTCGCTCTGCCCGCGCGGGGAGGCGCCCCCGATCCGCCCTCGGCAAAGAGCTGGCTGAAAAGCAGGCGGGCGCGAGCGCAAGTCAGTCGCGCTCTCCTTCGCCGGCGGTGATGTCGCTGCTCGCTGGCTCCAGCGCTTCCCGCAGGGGGACCAGGTTGCCGTTCAGGTGGGTGAGGCTCCGCGGGTCCCCCCCTCCCCCCGTCCCTTCTCCCCGCCGCCGCCGCCGCCGCCGTTCAGCTGCCCCTTCCTCCTCCTCTCCCTCCCTCCCTCCGCCGGGCGGGGCTTCTGGCGCGCGCTGAGTTAGGGAGGACGCCCCCCTCCCCTCCATTCCTCCCTCCTTCCCGCCATCTCGCGGTTGGGGGCTGCTTGCTTTCCGGGGAAGCTACGGTGTCTTTCCCCCCTTTGGAGGGTGTGGGGGGAAAGACGAGCCTCTTACGTCCGCCGAAGAAAGACAGCGGCTTCCCAGAGCCACCTTTTCTCTCTCTCTTTTTTTTTTCCCCTCCCGGCTCAGCCTACCTGACAGGGGTGTTGTGTGTGTGTGTGTATGAGGGAAATGACGCCGCGAGACGGGGGGGACGACGACGGAGTCACTCCCGAGATGGTTAAAAAAAAAAGGAAAAAAAAAAGCCAAACAAGGAGCGCCTTTCATTCGCGAAGGGAATCAAATCTTCAAAAAAGTCTTCCCTGAACCGTCTTGGGGGCGCCCTCGACGTTTGCTCCAAGAAGGCGGCGGGATGTCGCGCCTCAGTTTTGACGCTTCGGGACTCTTTTTTTCCCCGCTCTCCTCTCCCCCTCCCCTTATTTCCTCCCCCCCCCCACGACCGCTCTTCCCTCGAGTGGCGCTCCCCCACCTGAGGAGGTCTCGCGCTGCCCCCTCAGGAATCGGCGGGACGGGGCTGCGAAGGAGGGGGCGCCGCCGAGCGGGGGAGAGGTTTGAGGGGGGGGGTCGCTGCTTTGCCTTCTCCTCTGCCCCGCCCCGATTCCCCGGCTCGCGCTTGCCGCGGCTCCAGCTTGGGAAGAGGCTCTCCCCGGCCAAGCGGCTGAGGAGCCGGCATGGAAACCCCCCCCCCCCCCCCCCCCCACCACCACAGCCGGTGGCTGCAGCCCCGCGCCCTGGAAACCGGAGCCCCGCGCCGCCCTCAAGAGACCCGAGAGTTGGAAGAAGTCGTTTCGCGGAGCTTCTCCTGGTTCTCCCGTTGCCTGCGGGGGAAAATTTTATTTATTTATTTATTAGTTTGATTTATATGCCGCCCTTCTCCGGAGACTCAGGGCGGCTTACAATGCTTTTAAGCAATATAGCCTTCCTACTTTTGTATATACCTGCTTAGTAGGGCTTTTTGGGCCCCCCCAAGCTGTGTTCTTTTTTATACAAAGTCAGCTTATTGCCCCCACAATCCGGGTCCTCATTTTACCTACCTGGGAAGGATGGAAGGCTGAATCAACCTTGAGCTTGGTGATAATTGAACTCGCAGTAATTGCAGGCAGCTGGCAGCTAAGTGCTACTTTAACAGTAGTTTAGTCCACTGCGCCACCAGGCTCCGACCTTTAAAAAAAAGTTGGGGGTAGGGATGATGATCCCCCCCCAGCCTAGAGGCTGGCTAGATGGGTGCCTCTTAGCTTTGACCCCTGTCGTTGCAGGTAGTCCTCGACTTACAACAGTTCGTTCAGGGACCGTTCAAAGTTACGACGGCGCCTGAAAAAAAACTTGACTTGGGACTGTGTTTCACATTTACGACCCCGTGGCCACGTGATTTACATTCGGATGCTTGACAACTGACTCGCATTGATGACCAGTGGGGGAGGGGGGGGTCACGTGACCTCCCTTTTGCGACCTGAACCAGCAAAGTCCATGGGGAAACCAGTATTCACTTAACCACCGTGTTACTAATTTAAGATCATCTGTGGTTCGCTTAACAACAGTGGCGAGAAAAGTTGTAAAAACGGAGCAAACTCAACTTCACAGATTTCTCACTTTTAACATAAATTTTGGGCTCAATTGTGGTTCTAAGGTGAGGACTACCTGTGTATGGAGATCCTCCAATGGGTGCCCGTGTTGAAAACACCTGGGTCAGGGCCAGTTAGTGGCTATAGGTGACTTAAAAAAAAATTAGGACTTTGGTACAGGTAGTCCTCAACTTATATGGCCGCAGTGAAGCCTGAATTTTATGTTGATAAGTGAAACATTCATTAAGTGAGTTTGCCCATTTTACGACTTTTCTTGCCCCAGTTGTTAAGTGAATCATTGCATTTATTTAATTAGTAATATGGCTGTTAAAGGGATGCGGTGGCTCAGTGGCTAAGACACTGAGCTTGTCGATCGAAAGGTCTACAGTTCAGTGGTTTGAATCCCTAGTGCCGCATAATGGGGTGAGCTCCCGTTACTTGTCCCAGCTTCTGCCAACCTAGCAGTTCGAAAGCACGTAAAAATGCAAGTAGAAAATAGGGACCACCTTTGAGGGGAAGGTAACAGCATTCCGTGCGCCTTTGGCGTTTAGTCTTGCCGGCCACATGACGATGGAGGCATTTTTGGACAGCGCTGTCTCTTTGGCTTTGAAACAGAGATGAGCACCACCCCCTAGAGTCGGGAACGACTAGCACATATGTGTGAGGGGAACCTTTACCTTTACCTTAATATGGCTGTTAAGGGGATCTGGATTTCCCATTGACTTTGCTTATCAGAAGATTGCAAAAAGGGATCACGTAACCCCGGGATATTGCAACCGTCATAAATATGAACCACTTGCCAAGCCTCTGAATTTTGATCACGTGACTATAGGGATGCTGCAATGGTCACAAGTGTGGGAAAACAGTCATAAATCACTTTTTTCAGTGATTCCAGAATGGTCACTAAATGAAGTGTTGTAAGTCAAGGACTACCAGTAGTTCACTTAAGCTCACACGGTTTAGTCTAAAAAGGTGTGACCAGTGACTACGGTACACAATGCAGCATTTCTACAACAGGTACTTTACAAAGTTGTCAACTCAAAAATAACAGTATAGCCAAATAACAGAGTTGGAAGGGACTTCCAACCCCCTGCCCTATACTATTCTATACTATTCTAAACAAGTGGTTGTTCAATCTCTTTTTGAAAACCTCCAGTGATGGAGTACCCACAATTTCCAGAAGTAAAATGTTCCAACTGATTAATTGTTGTCACAGTCAGGAAATTTTTCCTTAGTTCTAGATTGGATCTTTCCTTGATGAGTTTCCATCCCTTAACTTGCCCTTCCCAACTTTTCTCAACCTTGGCAATTGCAAGGCAACTCCCAGAATTCTCCAGCCAGGAATGGGGAAGAGAAATTGTAACCAGGACCCTCTATATGTGTGTATGTTTGTGTTTGAGTGAGTGCGAGAGAGAGAAAGAGAAGAGAGAATGAATATGAATATTACATAGGATTGGGGATTTTGGCAACAGACTTTTCTGGAGGTTGACAAGTTTGCATGCTGTTGCTCCACATCTGGGATGACTGAAGTTCCAAGCAGGAGGGGTGGACTAGAAGTCCTCCAGGGTCCCTTTCAACTCTGTTATTCTGTTACTTCTGTTAAATCAGCGCTAGCATGCAGAGCCTGGTTCCTTGATTTTTTTTCTTACAGCTCCTTTAGCAAGAGTGGCCAAAGGAAGCCTCTAATTTCTTCTATATCGCCAAGTACTGTAATGGATTTTGCAGAAACCTTGTGGTCCTGCATAAACCTTGTGTTACATTTTTCTGGAGTTGTTTTTCTTTGCAGTCCTGGCCAGATCTAGCCTGTGTTTGATCCTGATTCATTTGGTACCTCTTTCCTGTACCAAATTTGGCCCCATCCTGACCAAAGGAGAGTTAGTTCTGAACTCCTTAATATGTGTTTATCTCAAAGATGAACTAGTTGCACTTTTCTTTTAGTCCCTCTTGTGTGTCTCCAGAACATCCATGGAGTCAACAAGGATAAATTTTCCCAGCAGGACAGTAGTAAACTGACAGCCAGGCTGGGGGTTTCAGTTTACTACTTCACTAGTCACGAATCTAAAAAGACTTGAAAATACAATTTAAAAACCCGAGCAATAATTCTGTGAGAATGTTCTTTGCAGACAAACCATGTTTCTTTTAGTTCGAAGATATAAGAAAGATGAGAGCTGGGGGAGAAAAGAGAAGTAATGAGGAAGCAGCAAATGATTGATGATTTCTAGGCTCAGAATGTAAATGGTACCATATCTTATTAGTATCTATATTAGGAAATCCCAAGGTTCATGGATATCCACAGAGTATGGTCAGAAAAGTCACGATGGCCATGACTATGCAGGTGAAGCTCTCTCTTTTTCCTCTACCTGTCCTAACCAAAAGCTCTTATCAATTGTGGAGCCGACCAGCAGCGGGAAGCTGCAGCAGAGGGATGAAAGAGCCACATGCGGCTCCAGAGCTGTGGGTTGCTGACCCCTGGGTTAAGGGTTGGATTATTGGAATGTCTCTGCAGCTGTTGTTTTGCTCTTTCTCAAAGTGAGGGAGAACGAGAGTTGCTGCAATCAGAGTCCATCCATCTCCTC